AATTTAAGACAACGTAAAAATGTATATTATTTACTAATTCTCTAAAATATTTTTAGAGTTTGATAGACTCACAAATAATATTAGAGCTTGATAAAATATTTGCATATGAAGTGTTACATAATGTAATACAAAGCATGTGATTGTTATTTTTAATTATGAATATTTTTTATTTAACTATATTTAATGGAAATTTTGTAAATTATTAGCAGAAAATTATTTTTTGTTACCATACAATGTACGGTGTTAAGTTTAGAAAATACAGTATGTAAAGTATAATTCCACCTTAAAGTATAAATACAACTTAAACAAAAGGGGTATTTTTTAAATTTCTTTATGTTTTACCTACTAAATATGACCAGAAAGCAATCGCTACGAATTATTCTTTGATATGCATTCTACCTATTCGGTATGAATGTGAAACAAACTTGAGCTCACTTTTTGGACTAATTGGTGAAGGCATTTCCATTTCATGACATTTTGAGGGGAAAAGTTATTAAGGGCCGTTTGGGAGTGATTTTTCACCCCTAAAAAATTAATTTTTTGACCCATTCACTTTTCTCCCAACTGTTAAAAAATCAATTCTCAAAATTACTCTCAAATATGGCCTAATTAAGGACATGACAGACTCAGATGGGAAAGTGAACTCTTAAATTATACTCTCTCTATCCCAATTATATAGGTTTATTTCGTTTTTTACACAGATTAAGAAATCTTCTTTAATATCATTGAAAAATTAATTTTTGCCAAAATTTTTCCTGGTTTACCCCTATTTAATTTTCAGTATATAGTAGTAAATTATTATTGGAATTACTAAAGAAATTGAGCACCTTACATTTGTTTATTAGTTTCTTCATCATACGATTACTTGTTTAATTTAGTCGTACTGATCTCAAATTCAAACTGCTTTAAAAATGCCTTAATGTAATTATTAGCTTTTTGAATAAGGTGATAGGTTTTGAGCGTGAAGGAGTGGTCACTATTTCAATTCATATCAGCTTCCAACACATCAAGAAATTGATCATATAACTAGATGTCACTCATCGGCACATCAAAGAACCACAGGTTCATGAATAGAAATCACCACATTGTAGAAAATTTAGGTAATTCATAATACAGTAACACGTGAGTAAATTTTACTTAGAGTCGTGTTATAGAAATTAACCTACATTGTTGATTGTGTCCAATATATATTTGAGTGTAATAGAGTAATTACTCGTGAGCAGACTATTGTTATGGTTAAGAAAAACAACTTACTGTAACTGGTAGAGTAACAATCACTAAAACTTTATTAAAAGACATGCCTGCCTCTATTCACGAGCTAAGATAAATTAATTTTTGATCTAACTCGTACTTTTCTACGTAAGTATTTAATTCATATTATCGCAAAGCCATCGGTTGATGAGAGCACTTTGTGTTACGAACACGATTTGTCTATAATGAAGAACAAAACAAAATAATTAAAGAGTAAAAGAAATATCTAGTATTTCTCTGAAATATAGACCTTCCCATTGATATTTCGAGGGACCAATAAATCTCAAGACAAACCGTATGTGAAAATAATTCATCCACATATTATTTATAGATTTTGCCTCTAAAAATATAGGCTTAAAACACATGATTCCACCAACTCCGAAACATAGCCCACTAACACATAATGTCAAATAAATTTTTTTTAAATAAATAAATTATGGACATGACCAACTACTTGGACAAATTTAAACTAAACATTAGATACAATAAATCGTAAAATCAAAAGACCAATTAATTAAATGTGTAACTAACTTTCACATGAAGCCGTAAAATATTTGCCTTTTATGTCATCATTCACTACTCTGTAAACGTCTCCAGTGTTATGATCTATGAAGTTTTACTATTATTATTATTATTATTATTTTAATCGAATACATTGCACAAATTAACCTTAGGAAAAAATTAATCAGTGCGATTGTGGACGGGGACACGGATTAGTTTGGGCGAATCCTTTATTTTTATATTTAATTGGTGTGATTATGAAATATGCATTGGACGACGGATTTTATATTTATTGTTAACCTATTACTACAATAGAGCCATGATTATAGGAAAAATTTAACAATACGTGCACCGATGTCAACGTGGCAAAATATGATTGGATGCCATACTATTACCATCCTTTTAATAAATTGACTGGTGACCAAAGTACACAAACTAGTTTGGCCATCATTAAATTTTATTTTATTTTTCTCTCTCCTATTTTTTTATTACACAATCTTCTATAAAATAATATTAGATGTAAAACGAAAAACTTTTCCTTTTTTTTTTAACAACTCATTTTTAAAAAAAAAACACTATTTCACCCAATTTTCATTTCAAAAAATGATTTTTCCTTCTTTCTCAACCACTTATTTAAAAAAAAAAAATACTATTCCGTCCAATTTTTATTTCAAAAAATGGGGGCTAAATGGGCAAGTCTTCTCTCAATTATTATTCGAGTCATAATATTCACATGTTCTGGGAATTAAAAATTTCAGGTTCTTTTCCTTTTATATAGAGGGAGACCAAGGCCTCATAGTGCACCATGAATAGGTGCCCCCTCCATACCTTTATTTCCTTTCACTAAACCTTTTATTTTTTCGGTGGAAATCACTATCAACTATAATTTAGTAACACGATTGGATTGTCTATGAGTGTTGACACGCTAAAAGTGCAGCCCAATTCAAATAACCCAAAGAATGAAGTAAAATTGGGCAATTCAGGATAAAGGCTCAAATAGGGTTATTAATGAATGCAGTGGAAGCCCACGAACGCGGTAATACCATCGTCCAAACTTGCAAGACGCCCAAGATCTGAGCGAATCAAGTGCCTTGCAGTCGCCCAGAGTTATGACCCTGTGCTCGCCCAAACCTTCGAATCACCTAGGATCTTAGCAAACATAAGATATTATGGTTATCCAAAAGTGCAGTTATCGAAGCACTTATTGGATAATCTTATCACGTTCCACGATTCAAGAAGTTTAGTTGAAGACGGTTGAATGACAAAGAGTAGTGGCAGCATTTAGAGACGGCAGTTCTACGATAAGTTGGCCACCATGAAGAAAGTGGGCAGTTATAAAGCAATTAAGCAGTTTCTAAGCTGTTGATCACAAAGAGAGCATCAAGGGAATATAAAAGGAAGAAATGATATAGAGCAAAGACCCCCGAATCAAATACTCTCAAACAGAGAATGTGTAATTTCAATTCCTTAGTTTAGACTTATAACATTTCTTTTTAGTACTCGTGTACTTGCGCCCCTTGGAGGCATTCTGTTTAAATTCCAATTGTAAAGTCATCACCAATAAAACACCCCTTTTTGGGACTTTGTCTCAAGAGGTTTGTTCCATTCACAATCGTCTAATCCCTTTTTAATTGTTAGCGACAACCCGCGCGAAACAATTTGGCACGCCCGGTGGGACATTGGTGTTTGGTGTTGAAGATACAAAAGGTGAAACAATATGACTCAGAAATCCAATAAGGAAGCAACAAGTCAGGGAAGAGTCCAGTCTGTGATCGAGCGATATGAGGAGCAGCATAGCTCTCCACGAACAGATGGACAGAATCAGAGCAATCACAGTCATTACGAACCAATGACAGAGTTGAGTCCTCGAACCATGCGTGCATTACTCGGAGAACTCACACAAGATGTCGTTGAACAGGTAAATCTACAAAGTATTCATAATATGGAAAGATTTACCCAGAATGGGAATGCACATTATGATAACATGGCCAGACAATTGAATACTTTGAACGAAATAATGAATAAGTTAGTAGGCCAAATGTGTCAACCAGTTGTGCCTCTTGCAAACCACTTTTAAACTAGGACAATTGTGGGACATAATCTCCCAGTCCTAAGTTTAAATCAAGGGGTAGAACCACCTTTTGACCTCTCTACTTCAAACCAGGGGGGGTGGTGTAATACCAAATCAGAATAGTGGCATTGGTGTAGCTAACTTGGGGATAACCTAAATGTAAGAAATAATGTCCTAAATAATGGGCAGAATACCTCACGTGTTAATGATGGAATAAATGTTCAGGCTAATGGTAACAATAGCCCAAATCATGGTAACTTTGTTGCCAATCAAGGACCAAACATCAGGCCTCAAGCAAATCAACCGGTCAACCAATCTGTAGGAATTCCATATGACCCCAACGTCATGTTGAGGAATCAGATTATGGAAATCGTACAGGACGAGATGACTTTTGGAATACGTCCTGTCATTAGGCTGACTTACACAAAGCCATATCCTGATTGGGTAGACCAAGTATATCCATGGCCTAGAGGGTATAAAGTATCAAAATTCTCATTGTTTGCCGGTTTAGGAGAGGTGTCTACTCTAGAACACATAGGGCGATTCACACTGCAAAGTGGTGACGTAACTGATTACCATAAAATGAGGCTGTTCCCTAGTTCACTAACAGGAGTAGCCTTCTCCTGGTT